GAATTCGGACATGCGCAAGATCCAACACTTCTCAATGACACAGTGCAGAATTGCTTGAGAGATTACACGACAAAGCATGGGGTCTCTTGGGCAATGTGGAGTCTTGCGGGTAGCTATCGAATTCGCTCAGGGGTGCAGGGTCTTACAGACACATGGGGTTTGACAAACTACAACTGGTCCGGCTGGATCTATGAGGATGGAATTAATGATTACTGGAAGCCTTGGATAAAAGCTATGAACGTTACTATGCTGGCTTGAGAGTACACTCTATGCATGAGACAGGCCTCACAGTTCTCGAATGTTTACACGTATATACTGTCGGGATGAGATATTAACATGTTAAATTGAAGGTATCTACATATTATGCACTGTGATTAGAGATCCATATAAAGATTAGACAGGATACGCGTGAACCTGAGCTCCTATAGGACACTCCCAGCATCCGAAGTCATCCATGACATTGTTCTTATAGGCCTTTCCAGCAACTGCATCGTCACCAATTGCTGTCCATGCATCTACATCCCACACGGCACAGAGCGAGGTTGATGAATCCCACATATAGCTGGCGCAGCTCTCTGTGCCTGCCTCGCGTAGTTGAGAGCAATATGCCGCACAATCTGCCTGTGCAATGATGAAGAGAGACTGAACAGGTGAGTCTGGTTCCTTGAAGCCCCTGATATCACAAGAGAGGGACGAATCAGGGGATGCAGCGCGAGTGCATGTTGCTGCTGCGGCGGTGGTCGAAGTCGCAGGAGTACTTGTCGTGGGACTAATGCTTGTACTCTGTGGCCCTGCGGATGAGGCTGTGACAGAGGAAGTAGGGTACCAAGGCCCTGGAAATGGGCAGTCAAAACAGAGCTCATTCATCCAGACGACGCTCCTGTAATCAGTCGAATAGGTCTGCCCATGAAGGTATGAGGCAATGTCAAAGCCGTAAAAATAACAAGTCCAGTCCGAAGTATCAGTCGGCCAATTTCCGCGATCAAGCGCGTAACCTGTACATCCATCGATACCTGCACAAATGCTTGCGCATTGTTGATACCACACTTCAAAGTTGTAATTGCCGGTTACAGGAGGCACAATTCCAGTTGCCACGGCGACAAGTCCGGAAGTGGCTGTTGGAACTCCTGATATCGTACAACTGTTTGTATACCATTGGGCCGTAGTAGGCTTGTTGCAAGTTGTTACCAAAGGTGGAGCTGAAATGGTCGGAACAGTACTGGTTGGTGTCGGAGTTGTCATTGGAAGACTTGATGTCGTCAAAGGAGCGGTGGTAGACCCTGGCGTTGTTTCCGCGGTGCTTGGAGACGCTGCAGGCTCACTAAAAGTGCAGTTGTAGCAAATGTCGCTTGACCAGGCGTATCTACTATAAGCAGATCCAGGTGAGGTATTGAGAAGGTAGTTCCGTCCGTCAAAGTCGTAGAGAAGACAAGACCAATCTGACATGTCCGACGGCCAGTTGCCTCTGTCAACGGCCCAAAGCGTGCATCTAACTGTACCGGCGCAAATGCCAGCGCAGACCTCAAATGGCTGGGCGAAGTTGTACACCCCGGAGGCCACGGGAGCAATTCCTGTGGCGATTGCCAGGAGACCAGACGCGGACGTTGGAGTAGGCCACCCCGAGATTGCACAAGGCTCCTGATTACCCGGGACGGACTTCGTTGTACATACGCCACTAGTGTATGGAGCTGCCGATAAGATTGCATATGCTGGTGCAGAGGTTGTCGTTGGCGCCGTGGTGATAGTTATGGGGACTGAATTTGAACTCGATTGAGGAAGACTGGTAATACTTCCAGTAGACGTGGAATCAGGAGCGACAACGGCAGATGTGGTCGAAACGGACTCCGGGAGACATTGATAGCAGTTATGGGCGAACCAAACTACAGCCGCATACTGGGAGTTGTAGGACACTGCATATTCCCGAACACCGCCTGTGTAGAAGTAACAGCTCCAGTCATCCAGGACTGTCGGCCATGAGCCGCGGTCCAAGGCAAAGCTCGTACATCCCTCCACTTCATTGCAAACTCGAGCGCAGATGGTATATTGTTTCTCGAAGCCTTCGTTGCTCCCCACGGGTGTTGCAGGGATGCCAGTAGCTACTGCCAGCAAACCTGATGTCGCGACTGGGGCGCCAGAAAGGACACAGCCATCGCCAACAGCGTTCGTACACAAAGGAGCGTAAGCTGGTGCCGAAGTTGTAAATACTGCTGCGCTGGTTATCACTGGCGAGCTGCTCGTCATAGTTGATGAGGTTGACGGGATACTCGAAGTCTGTAGACTTGAAAACTGAGGAACGCTTGATGTTGGAGGGCTGCTAGAAGAAGGCGCGGCAATTGCAAGATCTTGGGGGTTGCAATCGTAGCATCCATTACCAAACCAGACCACAGCCATATATTGACTCATGTATGAAACGGCATATGTCGATACACTACCGGAATAGAAGTAGCATGTCCATGAATCAAGTTGCGAGCTGGGATAAACTCCAACACCACGGTCTAAAGCCCACGCGTTGCAGTCTGGTAGATTGTCGCATATTCCAGCACACTGCTCATATGCTGGTGCCATATTTCCTCCTGCTGCCACAGGGACTCCAGTAGCTTCCCCTACAAGCCCAGATGTGGCGACAGGTGCACCAGAGAGAGTACACGAGTAGTAGCCATTGGGTCTGCTGCATGTGCTGGCAGTATAGGGCGCAACCAGATAAGTGTTGATACCAGCCGGCACTGTTGTAACGATAGACGAGGCTGATGTTATTGTGGAGGTTTCGAGCTGTAAACTTGTCGAAGAACTCGAGTCATTATCGTTATCATCCAGAGCATCACAAACGTAACACCCGCTTTCGAACCAGACCACTGCGGAATACAGAGAGTCGTAGGAAACAGCATATTCATCAACATAGCCCGAGTAGAAGTAACAAGTCCAGTCTGAGGTAATATCCGAAGGCCAGCTTCCACGATCGAGCGCATAACTGTTGCAGGTATCGATGCTGGCACAGACGCGTGCGCATTGTTGGAAAGCTTGGATCAGGGGTCCATCGGGGACCGGTATACCTGTAGCGATAGCAACCAACCCTGACGTAGCTACGGGAGCGCCTGACAAGATACAACTTGCCGGACCATAAGTTGGTTGACTACAGGCATCTTCCGTGTAGGATGGGGCCGAGTAAGTCACCACACTCGGCGCAGCAGTTATTCCCGGTCGTACCGTAGTGGTGGTCAGTGGTACGCTTGTGGAAATGACTCCGGTGATGCTGGTCGAAGACGGTACAGCTGTAGGTTCGCGAGTGGCACAGTCAAAACATTGCCGTGCCATATAGACGATGTCATCTGTGTCGTATGTTGGGGCGTATATCAGATCCATAATGTTTTCAGAATAGAGATAGCAAGCCCACTCGGAAGAGCCACTGCGGTCGAGGGCCCAGGTCTCGCAATCCATTTGCCGATCGCACATGCCTGCACAGATTTCATACTGTTCCTCGTACTTTTTGCTTCCGGGAACAACAGCAGTAGCTACCGGTACCCCTGTGGCAATGGCTAAAAGACCAGTGGTTTTTAGATCCGCACCGGAGAATGTACACCCGTAGTTCCACCATTCTGTGTCGTCGTCGGGAACCCTACAGGTATCTGTGGTATAGCTGGGTACGGTGAATGTCGGCACTGGAAGAGGTGTCTGAGTGACTGTACTGGGAACTGCAGACTGGCTACTAGGCGCCTGAGTTATGGACGCCGTTGGAGGCGCAGCCGTGGAAGGAGGGTATGCCGTTGTCTGCTCGAGTGGAGGGCTGCTGCTTGTTATGTCTGGAGCGCCCGTGAAAGTGGAGGGTGAAAGACTGCTGGTCGAGGGTATTGTTGTTGGGGAGAGCGATTGGTCAGTGGTGCTCAATAGACTTGAAGTGCTTGATCCAGACGAGGGCAAGCCGACGCTGACGTCTCCAACGGTAACAGAAGTAGTATCACCTGAACAAAACTCAACTATAATCAGCGTTGTCAGTCCTTGAGAAGATGTTGGCATCGTTGTGACTGTCGTATAGTTGCCATCTGTGGTCCAAATCTGGCTGTTGTAGATCACTACGCCACCAAGATATATGGTCAACGTGCACTCAGTCAATACGGCTCGCTTTCGAAGAACGGCAGCCTTGATTTCAGCGCGGACAACAATCTCAGTTCCAGGTTCGATATCTGCGGGAGGACTTGCAGGAACTTGAATCGTGGCTTCGCCACCATCAGCAGGCGGCTCCAAAATACTGTTCAAGAATGTCAATTAATCTCATTGGCTGACAAGAATCCCAATGCTTACATGACCGTCCTACCGTCCTCTTGTACGATCTCACCATTCGTCACGATGGCGTCCGATAGGTCCACGATACCAGTTCCGTCGGAGATTGGTTCCGTAAAGACTGGCTTGGAGGTCGATATGGTGCTTGTCTGGATGAACACCGTAGATGGTGAACTCGTCAAGTCGGACGAACTTGGATTAACTGTCGACAAAGAAGTAGATACAAAGCCCCTGCACAGAGGTTAGGAGGACAATATTATTACCAAGGACAAATATGCACTCACGAAGTTGAGGCGACAGGGCTGTAGATATACAGGTTCATGAGGCCACTACCGCCGCATATTTGGCTCGAGTCACCCTTGCACTTCATCGTGCAAGATGACGCAGTGGCAGCAGAAGAATACTGACTGAGGGTGGTTCCAGCCCAGCATTCCCGACCTGTATCGTGTGAGCTAAGCTTTCAGCTCTCAGCAACTTGAAGCTTACCGTATTCAACTCCGAAGTACTTGTATCCTTTGGACTTTGCATATGCAGCGCAATACTCAATTGTCATAGCATCTGAAGCATTGAGGCTTGGTAAAGCTCGACCATGGGTGTCGTTATCCGTCCAACTAAGTATTGTCAGATCATGGAATCACAGGTGAATATCTGTTACTTACCATCCTTGAGCGAGGTAATCCCCTACACGATTTGTCGGGGTAGCAGCACTGGTACTACTTGTTGCACTACTGGATGACGAGGTTGCCGAAACGCTGGATTTGTAGAGATTAAGTCGGCTAGATCCTCCGCAAAGAGTGCTCGAGTCTCCCTTGCAAGCCATATTGCACTCTGTCTCAGCTGTTGCAAGGACACTGCTAACATCAAGACTTGACCCGCACCAACATTCTCCAGCTTTGCAAGGACATTAGTAGAGTTCTTGAACTCAGATGAAGACTATCACCAACCATATTCTACGCCCAAATAAGGACTTCCTCCACAATAAGTAACGCATTTCTCCACGGTCATGGCGCTGTCTGTGTAGACTTTTGACAAAGCCCGCTTGGCACCGGCATCGGTGTAGCATCCTTGGTATGTGTAGTCACCGACAACCTCTTTGGCAGCCGGGCCAGAGGCTGTAATAACGTTCGCGTTCTTGAAAAGGCTCAGACGATTACCAGCTCCACAGTACTCGGTGGCGTTACCAGGACACTTGAATGAACATTCGGACTCGGCATTTGCGACTGTAGCTTGTGCAGATAAAGCACTTCCGCACCTGTAAGAAAAATCGTCTGTCAGTGCAAATGTCCGATTTACCTGATGTCACAGCCTCGACTCACCAACACTCTTTCCCATATTCTACTCCAAAGTACTTGGACTTGGTGCTCGCTGCGCAGATTGTTGCGCACATCTCGAGAGTCATCTGAGCGTTGGTAGCGACAGTCTCAAGGGCTCGGCTCCCACTGGGTTCCACGTAGCTAAGGCGATAATATCAGCAAGGGGCTCATTTCGTATCACTAACACAACTGACCATCCCTGGTAGACATAATCACCAATGGCATTCGCGGTTACAGCACGGATTTGGCCATTGAAAGGAACGGCCAAGCCGATCTGGCACAGAACAGCCAGAACGACGGCCCAGAAAAGTCGCACCTGCGAGATAGCCATTATCGTTGAACAGCAATCACAAATTCAGGCCAAAAAGAATGGACTTGCGGCGATCCGCAACCGTGCAGTGAAGACGAGCACCTGCGGAAGAAACTCTCCTAGCTCAGGAAAGCATGGAGAACGACTGGGCCATGACATTTTTAAGTCTTATGTGATATCTAGCGCGTTTGGGTGAACAACACGAACACAAGAAATTGGGCCGCTTCTTCAGAAGTACCGATACAGTAGCCACGATACTATCGAAAATAGCTTCCTGGAAGTCGTCTCATGTTCGCTTGTGGCGCCGCTGCCGCATGGCTTCATGGGGCTCTTGAGCGCAATCTCAGCCGGCTATCGTCGAGTACCAGTCCTAAAAAGACATAATGTGGCTGCCCACGAGGCGCTGGCCCTGCAGGTACGCACAGTAGCGCGCGAAGGCTGAATTGACCTCAGGGCAAGGCGAGCAGTAGCGTACATTTGGCGTCGTGTCCAGAAAGCGCCCCAAGGTCTAGGCGGCCCAGGACATCCAATAGACTGGACCAATACGGATTAGTAGGAGTACACATTTACACAATAGGAAAACCAAGACAACCCAGAGCATCCGGACCTCTGCAGGGTTTGCTCTGGACTTTATGGGAGTACTCATGATTTAATTTACCATCTCGCCACATCCGAAAGTCGATCGAATTCAAACATGGCGCTCTTGTCGATACGTTGTACGGAAGGTCGACACCTGATAGAAGGAGGCAATACAACGGGCCTACCCGAGCTTCTCGAAGAAGAAGAAGAGCCCACCATGTGTAGTTCATGTTACGTTAAATTGTGTCAACATTTATCGGAAATTTCGTGGGCGTCAAAAATTGATTTAATTGAGCGATTGCATGAATAACGGATAGGAAAAGAATGAATATAGTTTGTCTACCCACTAACTAACCATATGCAACACATCTTGAAAGTTCCATGATCCAGCAATTACACTTCTGTCGCCTCTTTATGCTCGGTCTTTGCTTGTCCAATTGACTTTCCATCGCAAACCCGTCCTTCTCGTCGGTACTATCTGGTGTTTGCAGAGCGAATTTATGTGTTCTCCATTTTCTTGCTGGGATGTGCTCCGTGAAGAACAAGGAAATTTCCAGGTTGCTCCTGCCAGCAGTTTCACCGACACAAAACCAGGTCCAGGTGAGAGCCATGCATGTGGTTCCTGCATAGACGAACCCAAGCATAGGGCCTAGTCCTGCGTCGTGATACAGGTATGGTGCGGTGAACGAGACCACCCAAGTGGTCAAATAGAAGACGACGATCGAGGTGGACATAATCTTGTTCTGGTTTGTTCCGACTGCCATTTCTCGAGCAATGGTATAAGCTAAAGGTCCAGGACCAAAATTAAAGCCGATAATGACGATGAATGAGAAGACTACAATGATGTATTGGGAGGCTGTCGTCAGGCTTGTTTGTGTACCGATGCCACCAATGACGATAAAGGCAAAGAGCATCATAGAATTCGTAATGAGGAGATTGACTCGACGTCGTACTTTGTTGCCGGTTATTACAGATGCACCGACTGCAAAGATTTGTAGGATGTTGGTGATAAGCTGGATCAAAAAGGGGTCCCCGATACCAATGGCCTGAGCGAACACAACCCCATACACGTAGAAGAACAGTGTACCGCAAATTTGTTGTGCAAACATGGCGCCAGCAGAAAACAGAATCTTCCTTCTTTCAACTGGGTCGGTATACAACGATTTCCAAGATGAAAACTCGGCGTGCTGCTCCTCGACTTGTTTTGTTTCCTCAAGGACTGCCATGTCAGAGGCTGGATCATATGCTGACTGACTCCGGTTAATCTTGCGCAAAGACTTCTCGGCCTCGACTCTCTTCCCATGGAGGATGTACCAAACAGGACTTTCCGGAATGAAGGGTAAGCCGATGAACATCATCAGCGGAAGGATGATGAGGCCGCCCATTGGTAGCTTGTATGAAAGAGAGTTATTGATCCTTTCGGTTCCTTGTGTGAGCCCCGATGCAATCAACTGAGACCAAGATTGGAGGTATTGGAACATCATCAGAGCTGGTCCCCTAATGGATGTAGGAGCCACCTCTCCCATGTATAGAAGAGAGGTAACAGTGAACTGGCCTACACCCAGACCGATCAATATACGCCCAAAAACAATGACCGCCTCATAGTGCGTGTCAGCGACCTGAGCAATGCCGCCTCCCAAAATGCAGAGAGAGGCGACCCAGAACACAGCCTTGCGTCCCCATCGGTCATTAATCGGCGCCGCAAGTATAGCACCGAGAAGATCTCCAATATAAATTGATGAAGCTGTCAGAGCTTGGAAGGATGTAGCCAGTGCCTTCTTTCCATTCTCGACATGGTTGCCGTAGTCATTCTTGAACTCTTGCATGGCAAGGACGCCATTGTAATAGGTATTATCGTAGCCATAGCAGAGTGCGCCGATTGCAGAGATTGAACAATAGAAGAGAGCCCATTTATGGCATTTCCAATCAAATTTGAAAGAATTTAACATTTTGTACGATTCAGAACTTAAGGCAATACTGGCTAAAAACACTACAAGTTGGGAATAACCAGATGAAGTCCGATTGTGGGGTGCCGAATCCGGGGAGAGCAGTTATAAATGCACCAACGCACTGCTATCAAAATCAAGAAGATCGTCATGCCCCCCATACAAAGACCTAACGTTGTCTCCATCGGTTTAATCTTGAACAGGAAAATGGCGATGGCCTCCACAAGTTTTAAGTCACTACGTTGCGGAGATTGCCTAACGCGGTTTAGGGCGTGGGGATGATGAAGTTGTGAACCCCATACCCCATGGGCTCAGTGCTTTGGTTCTACATTCTTCTAGCCCTCTCTCGGTAAGATGGATGTGCTAACAAGTAGTAGATGAAATAATAGCCCATCTACTTGTAAAAGTGCATCAACCTTGATAAGGTCCGTTGGTTACTACTTGTGTTTACTAAAAATTGAATACCAATTGTGTGACAAAAGAGAGCCCCGCTAAGCCTAGTAGTAAGCTCCTTAACCCCTGACAGAGGTCAATATAGTATATATATGATGTGAGAGCACCCCAATTCTCT